TTTGCTCACGGATGATGAGAATGATACATCATCCAAGAAAAATTCTAGTAAACTTTCCCGGCTTAATGCCAAGAAGGAAAAGATTCCCCCTATTGTGATAACCACTTCCGATTTCCATGCTCTTCGCATGGAACTTTTGAATTTCGTGAAAGTTAAGTTTTCACTACAAATTGGACGTCGGGGTGAATGCCGTGTATTGGCTGAAACCTTGGACGGATTTAAATGTCTTCTCAAGTATCTTACTGAGAAGAAGCACAATTTTTTTACTTACGACACCAAAACTGAACGTTTGTTCAAGGTTGTCATGAAAGGACTGCCCAGTGGTGAATCCCTGGATCAGATCAAAGATGAACTGGCAAAATTACTTGGAGTTGTGCCACTCCAAGTAATCAAAATGAAAATGAAATCCCGTCCTGGCGATTCGCGCAACGGGATTTCTAATGATTTTTATTTAGTTCACTTCAAGTCTAGTGAACTAAACAACCTTAAGGCCTTAGAAAAAGCTAGCCTTATGCTCCATGTCCGAGTGAAGTGGGAACACTTCAGGAAGACTGGAGGAAATTTCCAAAACCTCACTCTGTGCCGTAAGTGCCAGGGATGGGGTCACGGAACTAAAAATTGATACATGCCAGCTAAATGCATGAATTGTGGTGATTCCTCTCACGCAAAGGACGACTGTCCTGTGAAGGAAGATCCTAAGAAATTTAAATGTTCAAATTGTGGTGAAAACCACAAATCCAATTTTTGGGAATGTAAGACTCGCAAAGCGATCCTACAATCTCGTTCTAACCGTCAGGTAGGAAACGCTCCACGTTTCCGACCAGGTACAAATTCCTCTGCTGTTAACAACGGTCAGCGAGGAATAAATTCTACATTCGTACCCGTAGGTACAAATATCACCCCTGCTTCAAATGTTTCATCTGTACCTACTCCCCTCGCTGCTAACAATGTTCAGCGAGTTAATGGAGCTACCTATGCTGCTATTGCAACGGGTAGAAATCAAAATACTAACCAACGTTCTAACTGAAATTTTGACAATTTTGACTTAGGAAGCATTACTGCCCCTAAGATGTAATTTTTACAGAATTCATTAATTGACATGATTTCTGATATGCTTAAATCTAACTCCATGTTTGATGCTATTCAAACTGGAGTCAAATTTGCTAATAATATTGTCATGACTTTACAATTCAGTAATGGATTTTAAAGCTTTAAATATTTTAAATTGGAATGCTCGATCTCTTAAAGATAACGAAGACGAGCTATTTAACTTTTTGAGAGTTCATAACGTGCATATTAGCGTTATAACTGAAACGTTCCTTAAACCTGGCCATAAGGTTAAGAAGGACTCAAATTATTTAATTTTTATAAATGATCGTCTTGGGTGGTGTTGCCATCATTATTCATAGACGAATCAAACATAAAATACTTTCTTCATTTGAAACCAAAGTTTTTGAAACTTTGGGAGTTTCTGTTGAAACAAAATTTGGACAACTTACGTTTATAGCTGCCTATTTGCCATTCCAATGCGTAGGCCAGCAAAAGAATTTTCTCAAGGGTGACCTCCAGAAACTTACCCGTCATAGGTCTAAATTCTTCATTATTGGTGATTTTAATGCAAAACACCGCTCATGGAATAATGCTCAAAGCAATTCCAATGTTAATATTCTGTTTGATGATTGTTCTGCAGGTTATTGCACTATTCAATATCCAAACAGTCCAACATGCTTTTCTTCTGCAAGAAATCCCTCAACTATTGATTTGGTCTTAACTGATTCATGTCAACTTTCTAACCAATTGGTTACCCATGCTGACTTCGGTTCTGATCACCTTCCAGTAACTTTTGAAATATCCCAAGAAATAATTTGTAATCCCAACAGCTCTATTTTCAATTACCATAGAGCTGATTGGGAGCAATATCGAACATTTATGGAATATAACTTCGATCCAAACATTCCTTTGCAAACCAAAGATGAAATTAATTATGCTCTTGAATCTCTGACTACTTCTATAGTTGAAGCAAGAGCTGCCTCAGTACCAAAATGCGAGATTAAATTCGATTCAATTATAATAGACGACGATCTTCAGCTATTGATCCGTCTTAAAAATGTCCGTTGGAGACAATATCAAAGAACACGCGATCCTGCCATGAACATTATCTGGCGGGATTTGCAAAAACAAATTAAAAAGCGATTCTCTGCCCTGAGGAACAAAACTTTTGAAAATAATCTTTCTAAATTAGACCCGAGTTCCAAACCCTTTTGGAAACTCACAAAAAATTTGAAAAAAAAACCTCAAAAGCCTATTCCAGCGCTTAAAGAAGGTGGTATAATTTTGATCACAAATTTGGAAAAAGCTCAGAAACTTGCTAAGCAATTCGAGAGTTCCCATAATTTCAGTTTTGGTCTTACTAGTCCTATTGAGAATCAGGTTGCTCGGGATTTTCTGAATATTTTCTCTCGGGAAAATATTTTTGATGATTCCTGGGGGACTGATTTGGACGAAGTAAGGTCTATAACTAAAAAGTTTCAAAATATGAAAGCTCCAGGTGATGATGGAATTTTCTATATCCTCATCAAAAAACTCCCAGAGAGTACCTTGTCTTTCTTGGTAAAATTATTTAACAGATGTTTCCATTTGGCATACTTTCCTGATAAATGGAAAAATGCAAAAGTTGTTACAATTTTGAAGCCGGATAAAAATCCAATAAGTTTGCTTTCTTCAATAAGTAAACTTTTTGAAAAGATAATTTTAGATAGAATGATGCTTCACATCAATACGAACTCAATTTTTGCAGATGAGCAGTTTGGATTTCGCCCTGGGCATTCAACTACTCATCAACTCTTAAGAGTTACCAATTTAATTCGTTCAAACAAATCTGAAGGCCACTCAACTGGAGTTGCTCTTCTAGACATAGAAAAAGCATTCGACAGTGTTTGGCATGAAGGTTTGATTGTTTAATTGAAAAAGTTTAATTTTCCACTTTACATTATGAAATTAGTTCAGAATTATTTAACTGACAGAACTCTGCAGGTAAATTACCAATTCCAAATCCAATCGACTACCTGTTAGTGCAGGAGTTCCTCAGGGTAGCATTCTTGGGCCTATATTGTATAACATTTTCACTTCGGACCTCCCTGATTTGCCTCAGGGTTGCCACAAATCTTTGTTCGCTGATGACACAGGCATTTCCGCTAAAGGAAGAAGTCTTCATGTTATTTTCAACAGACTGCAGAAAAGTTTAGATATTTTATCTTTTATTTACAAAAATGGAGGATTTCAGCCAACGCTTCCAAAACTCAACTTATAATATTTCCACATAAGCCTAGAGCTTCCTTTTTGAAACCTAGTAGTAGTCACATAGTCACTATGAACGGAGTTCCAATTTCCTGGTCAAACCAAGTGAAATATCTTGGATTAATACTTGACCATAAATTAACTTTTAAAGATCACATTGAGGGCATTCAAGCTAAATGTAACAAATATATAAAATGTTTGTATCCTCTTATAAACAGGAAATCCAAACTTTGCCTAACGAATAAACTTCTAATATTTAAACAGGTTTTTAGACCGGCCATGCTTTACGCTGTGCCAATATGGTCTTGTTGTTGCACTACCAGGAAAAAAGCACTTCAAAGGATTCAGAACAAAGTTCAGAAAATGATTTTGAAGTTGCCTCCCTGGTATAGTACTACCGAAGTACATAGAATTTCGAATGTTGAGACTTTAGAACAAATGTCCAACAAAATAATTAATAATTTCAGGCAAAAATCGTTGCAATCCTCAATTGCAACGATTAATTCCCTTTATACTTAGATAAGCTTTAGTTTTAGTTTTTAGTTTTAAAATATCAATTGTTATACTGACATGCAGGTTTAAAAAAAACCTGTTTAAAATACTGAATTTCCAAGACAGGAACAATGTAAAAATACTTAGATCTATATCATAACAATTAAGGCTGGTAAGTTACTGTAGTAACTGGAGCACCTAGGTTCAAATGAAATGTAATTTATTTTGAATTTGGAACAAATAAAGAGTTAAAAAAAAGTCTAAATTGAGGAGGATTCACTTTTCCCACACGCTATTCTGATACTATCCAGAGACTTGGTAGATGGTACCGATTTTATGTGTAGTAAGGGTTTGTCAAAATCTGGGTAAATCAGTTTTTTGTGATGAGTAGAATCTAGCCCCCGAAGGTTTCATCAATATATATGGGTGTGTCTAATGTGGACCAGGGAACTCGATATGATCGCCAATGAGCTTAATTTACTATTCTCATGTTATTTGACGTGTCGCATCATGGTTTATGTCCCAAATTAGAAACATTCCACCTCCCTAGGAATACCCGGGAAATATTCAGGGGTGGGAAATAAGTTCATGGCCACACAATGTACACACCAGTGATCTTGATCCTGTATGTTCGAGTGTGAGCAATGCAGTCTTGGGCACTCGATATCACTGTTATTGTGCTTGTTTTTGAACTTTCATGCTATTTAATGTATAGCATAATGGGTTTGGACTAAGTTAGAAATTGGCCTCTTCTCAGAGGGCACCCGGAGCATGAATCGATGAAGCAAATGTGATCTTGGATACTTAATGTGGTCACCAATGATCTTGATGCTGAATTCTGATGTGTTCTGTCTCAAGTTAAAATCTGGCCTCTTACACGGGTCACCCGGAACATGTCTAGATATAGCCAATGTTATCCTAGGCACTTGATATAACTACTATTCAACATGTTTTAGAATTCCCTTGAGTGAACGTAAAAAAATAATAAAACAGATTGCCTTGGTGTTAACAAAGAGTGTTTTAAAACTCAAAGAGCTAATAATTATATAAATGGCGTGATCTTCCTGTTGTCACATCCTGGTTGAATTTGAAAACTACACTATTAATAATATAGTATTCATATCTAACCGGTATGTTAAAATAGCAAAACACATAGAAAAGTTCGTGTTAATAAATATATTAAACATCTATCGTCAATCAACCAAACTCACCAGGTCTCGCGTACTCTCGGTCTCCTGACCGCCGCTGTGATCCGGTGAGGTACCCAACAGTAAATACATCGCCGCCAATCATCACGGTGAAACTGGTTAAAATTATCACAACAATTGCCACAAACATCAATTCACACCTAGCACCGGGAGCATGATATCGTTTACACTTATGATTACTGCAGTGTCGCCAAGTGTCGCTGCCGGTCGCACGATAGTACTGCTTCGGATTCCACTCTTCTGCTTCATCACTAGCTTCCTCAGCTGCTATCGACGCAGTGCTTTCCAGCTTCATGCTATTCTCAATTATTACGTCTTATCACACAGCCAACCACGGCGAGGTTTAATCTTCCAAAGCAATGCCACTAGACAAATTTTACTACGAACACATTCACCACCAGAACCATGCACTCGTTTTAACATTTTAAAGCAACCACACATTTTTCGTGTATTTCATATCCGCGGCCTCTTTTTGCCACCAGAATCAAACAGTATTCACATCCGTTTTATTCCCTGCACTCTCTTCAACCAGCCACGCTGCGATTTAATGTGGCTTTAATTGATATCGACTCTGTTGCACCTGTTGCTGCTGGCACAATTTCCATGAAACATTTTTCTTCGCACGTAATTAATTTTATTCGATTTGATATAACTTTAATTAATTTCGCGACACTCATTGCACTGCCAACATACACATGCGTACAACAACAACAACACTGCGATGGCCTCCAGGCCAGTTGAACTGTATCAATTCCAGCTCAATGCGCTGACTTACGGCCTGTTGACTCAACAAACCAGATCGATAAGTGAAACACCTGAAACAAGAGAGAACGGGAGAATTTGTTTGCATTAATTATGAAGCAATTGGGATCGAACACATGTAGATTGGGGAGCAACAATGTGAAAATGAGAAAAGCTTTTTAAATCATTTAATACGCTGGATGTAACAACACAGAAATTTAACTATTTTGTCTTTCACTTCGCAAATAATATTCTTATACATCAAGCGTGAAGCGATAGACAATAACATTCACAAACACGATGCATATGGGAGCCGATCTCGCTTGAGCAGAAACCCACGCGAAACAGTATTGTGACATATTAGTGACACATAAAGTTTGTAACCTTCACATTTGGTCCTTGAATTAGGTGTACCGCGCAAATTTGTTGCATTCATAAAAACATCAACCTTTCGCCATTTTTTTCCCTCTCGCGCCCAACTGTCTACAGCTAATTAAAACATCTCATTATCGCATACATTTTTTTTCATTCCATTTCAACCTTATAGGTTTATTGACATAACTCACCCGGTTAAAAAAGCCACCAGACGGGCGGTGGCGGTTTCATGACTAATCGAGCGCGCGACACTCGCCGTGCTGACGCTGGAAGGAGAAAACCACTCGACTGGGTGTAATAGAGTGGTACAAAGTGTACATTTTATCCCAAACTGCTCAATCAATTCCATATCATCTGATAATAATGCTACACAAATATTGAGCTCAATTTGTCACTCACAAATTGTGATTTTAAGTTTATATGGAAATCGATATTATAAAAGTGTATAATCTTCTCGTTCGAACATTTCACCGTTGCTCTATGGATAAATCTGCTATTTTTCTTATATAAATAAAATGCCTCAACTACACACCAAATTGCTTAAATATTGTTCGGTAATTTTTTGCTGAATTCGTTCTGTAAAATATATTTTTTACAGAAAGCTATGTGGAATATATTGCTTTACCAATTTTTCGCAATGATAACTGCTGAATATGATATGATATGATATGAATATGAATATGCACACAATGACCCACAGAGCAAACTTTACTTTTCATATACACTAGACATTTGCTAACTGACAGATTTTTAACTGAAAGTTCACTAACTGAAAAAAAAACATTCAAGATTAACCAGATGAACACGAGGATGAACATTGATGCATTTAAAATGCATTTGACAACTGGTTTGCTGCATGAAAATTACTTTGAACTTTACCCCGAAGAACGCGTTACCCATTGAGTTAGATGAGTTAGATAGTTATTTTTCATCTACATGATTCCTAATCCTTTATTCGCTCTGCTTTAGTCTGCAGTGGTTAAGAATAGGATTCTGATGCATGGTCATTATTAGTGTTGTTGCTTGATTTTGTTGCGAAGGAATCCGTTTTTGACTGACAAAGGGGCGCGCCTTTTGAGAGTGTCCAACACTCCGAAGGGCATGAAGACCGGGACGACATGCTAAACTAAGGACACGGTGTTTACCACAATAGATAAAATAACTGGTCGCAGTGAATTTACAGACAACGAATCAATAATATCTCCAAATGACAAAATGACAAGCGATCAACAAACCGAATGATAACGCTATGTCAGAAGTGGAAACTAATAATGATGTAATCTTCTTCCTTTTTTTCATGACAAGCAGCCCATGCGACACAGCTCACTCGGGGCGGTAGAATAAAACGATCAAATTGTTAGCAAGCTGCTTCACGAAGTAAAGCCGAAGATGATACACGTGTGTTAATGGGAATTTTTTTGTTATGTCTTTTCGCGATTCAAGCTATGTAGGGGAATTTACGTATTCTCGGCAACCTAAGCAGCGACGTTCTTTCTATAGCCTTTTTCTCTAAGGAACGCACACATATGCAGTATTGGTTTGTTTACAATCTTTTGCTGCCAGCTGCTCTAACAATTTCAGTCGAAAGAATTGTCAAAAACTGTTTTGAAACGCTTTTACAAAGCTCCAATCTTCCCTAGTGAGAGCGAGTATTGTCGGCAACCAGTTTTTCTTCGGCAACCGTTCCATTTGAACTGCATGTTAATCTGCTGTTCTATTATCGGCAACTCGAAATCTGCTACAATTTGTAGTGCGTGTGTTGCATTTCAAGAAAACCCTGCTAGATTGCTTTTTTCTCAGTGTTAAAAATATAGTCAAATTGAAGCTGGAAGCATAAAGAATCGTTTGCATGCATTCAGCGAAGTGTTTTCGTAAGAAAATCCAGTGAAATAGTGTTTCAATTTGGGTTGCCGAAAATAGTATGTCATGCCGAAGCCGTCATTTCCCCTATATCATCCGTGTATATTGCAGGCAAGCAATACATCATTATCCTTCTAACACTCTGATCGAGTTATGTTACAGAGCGAGTTTGTCATGGCAGTCGTAGCAACTGTTTTGTCTGTATCGTTGGTTGCTTTATGTGTTTGGATTCGCTGTTTATAGAGGAACAGAGGAGAAAAAAACATGGCAACAAATATCAACTGTACTCAATGCATAAAAACTTATAATTCAATCAGCTCGATTGGAAATCAATCATGTAAAGCAATCCTCGTTGTTAGTGGTGAAAAAAAACACAGGTAGCAATTAAACAGCAATGGAATATTACCCACCTTTCACAATAACGAATCTCGCTCGATCCATCAATGCAATTCCGTGAATCTACGTGAATCTAATTTACTTTGATGCTTTTTGGAAAATTTCAAAAGCAGTTTTTTCCGATGCATTATATCAGATTGCAAAAAGCTCGCACTATTTGATTCCTTTTGATAGTTTACATAAAATGACGCGAGCTTTTTGCAATCTAAAATAATGCGTCGAAAAAAACTGCTTTTGAATTTTTAAAAAATGCACACATTGAGCCTTAAATGTTGCCTCAGTAGAGTTGAAGCCATAAACCATCGATAGAATGGGGGATCAACAAAATGTCTACACTTCTACATTTAAATATTACGGGTGGTGAAAGATGTACACTCTCTCAGATTATTTAAATTGAGCTTTTACAGATTTTTTTTTAATTTTTTCAATAAGTTTATGTGTTAGGCCCAAATGTCCAAAAGGACTACATGTAGCCAAGTCATCCTTGATAGAATATGTTCCCCTTTCGATTGAGAAAATGCAGTGAGTTGGGAATCTTCTTTCTTTACACCCATATATATACCCCGCACACTTGTGTGCATATCGAAGCCCAAGACAGCAGGAAATTTCAAGCTGAGCATTGCATTAGGTCCTAAGTAACATTGATCGATTCTCTTCGTGGACTTTCTCATTCATTAATAACTTGAGCACATAACCGTTTCTTGTTGTGTTTGTCGTATTAGATGCTGGATAACAGCTTTTTTTTATCGATCTGTGTGCTGAAAATACCTGAGAATGTCTTTACATGGTCGTGGGGAAACAAAGAGAAAGTCGACGAAGAGAATCTGTCAATGTTACTTAGGACCTAATGCAATATTCAGCTTGATTTCTCCCGAACCTACACGCTTCACATCACCGTATTTCTCTAACACCAATGCTTGATGGCTATCCGGGACTTCTGGTGGGATGTCACACCAGTGTCTGTTTTTATCATTTACTATCACACGCAAGGAGTAGCGCTTAAACCATGTTTAGATGAATTGTGTTTGTTTTCAATATCTTCACTGTCACGTACGAGCGAAATGAACACATGATTGCAAAATACATCAACGAATACGCGTTTGTTGATATTCACCAGTGCTTGATTGTCCAACCCAAAATTGTCAAAATCAGAAGCGATCCTCAAAAGCAAACTAATCAAATTCATTTTGGGCAAAATGATTATTCTGAGATTGTCGACCCCAAAGCCTAAAACCTCGATATTATCATAAATTCAGCATGATGAAATAATTTTGCAGCAAACTGTGTGTAAAAACCAACACAACACAATTTACAGTGCTTTATTTGTTTAAAATTCAAATAATCATTTAGCAATTGATCCTCAAAATCATCCTCACCAAGTTGAAGATGAATATTAATATTGACAACAGCCCAGGCGATAATGAAGATACAGCCACGAATGAAAAAAAAAACAAATGTTGACTTCGATACTCAGAGGTTGCCTTGATCAAGAGAATCTTTTAATATCAAAATTAAAATTCATGCAGGTAGTTGGTTTATCTGTTAAGGTTGTCTTTAGTTTTAGCTAAGTTGGTGTAGAAGAAATGATTTTTATCAACACTGTGTCGCACAATCTCACGTATGCCCCCAGCAGGCAACATGCGTAGGGTCGGGTGGGGCAAGAGTGCCACCTTAACAATTGTACGTTCTATATATGCCAAATAGTGGATATTTATAGGAGTTTCTACACCGCATTGCAACTTCATACTATTGCGTTCATACCTCAGCAATGTAATGCAAATTACACATATCTCGTCAAAAGTTTTTTACGACCTTTTTTTTTTCAAAATATCATCTCAAATCTTTTTTTGAAACTGCAATAGGGCAAAAGGGCCATGCGTCTTAAATTGAGTGAAATCGATTAATGTTTGTTTATAAACATAGTCTTTTAATTTTTAATCATGCTAGCAACAGCTGTTATTGTTGACATAATTTAACTATTGAATTTTATAATATTATTCAATGCATAACAAATGAAAAATGATTACCAATGAAATCAAATGAAAACTATTGATATTTTATGTAACTAGTTTTGTCAAATTTGGTGCAAACAAGCTTACCGCAATGAATCAATTTTCATTTACATTTTTGAATAATTCTATTCATAAATATAGGGGTGCCACTCTTGCCCCGTGTGAGGTTCTTTTTAAGGAAATTATTTTTGACCAATTATAAGAAACATTTATATATTCTTTGTTATTGGTATTTCAATTATTCATTATTAATGATGCCTCCCTACAGGAATTGTAGGATTGTATTTTTCATATTTGACACATCAGCACAAAATGATTTTTTGTAATTTTTGCAATACTCCATTTTAGACAAACTCGCTCCGAAAAAAACACACAGCTGCTTGTATCGACAGCTTGGAGTGAACTGGATAGGACCTTCATAGAAATCAATG